CTGTATCTGTTGTTCCCGGTAATTGGACTACACATATATATGTTATAACTCTGTATCTGTTGTTCCCGGTAATTGGACTACACATTTATATATTATAACGCGGTATCTGTTGTTCCCGGTAATTTGACTACACATATTTATGTTATAACGCTGTGTATGTTGTTCCCGGTAATTGGACTACACATATTTATGTTATAACGCTGTATCTGTTGTTCCCGGTAACTGGACTACACATATATATGTTATAACGCTGTATCTGTTGTTTCCGGTAATTGGACTACACATTTATATGTTATAACTCTGTATCTGTTGTTCCCCGTAATTGGACTACAAATATATATGTTATAACTCTGTATCTGTTGTTCCCGGTAATTGGACTACGCATATATATGTTATAACGCTGTATCTGTTGTTCCCGGTAACTGGACTACACATATATATGTTATAACTCTGTATCTGCCCGGTAATTGGACTACACATATTTATGTTGTAACACTGTATCTGTTGTTCCCGGTAATGTTCCCGGTAATTGGACTACACGTATATATGTTATAACTCTGTATCTGTTGTTCGCGGTAATTGGACTACACATATATATGTTATAACGCTGTATCTGTTGTTCCCGGTAATTGGACTACACATATTTATGTTATAACACTGTATCTGTTGTTCCCGGTAATTGGACTACGCATATATATGTTATAACGCTCTATATGTTGTCACCTCAGTATAAATACAACACCTGGGGTGATATTACACAACGGAAGCGTTTGTTCCAAATCCGTGGCAGCAGTAGAGAGAAGATCCGGACGATCGAGGTAAAACGTGATTTCAATCAAACCATTTCCCCCAATGTTCGTCAAGTTTAGATTCTAGTTGCAGTTTTCTTTGCACTTCGGTATTTTAGAACCTCACTCCATGTATAACATAAACGTACTAAATGAGTCTAAACCCTTTTACTTAATGGCACATATGGTCCGTTTTGTACCGTTATTTATTAAACATAGATCATTTACAATAGATTTATTTTCAAATTTTAAGAGAGTTGTACTGTATATAGATGACATTTTAAATAGCAATAGTTATCAACATACGTAGGATAGAGTCTCAGTCTCTTTAACAGACACTACATAATGATATTGCTGTGACGTGTTCACACGTGACTTCCTTTTCTATATAATTAATTGTATTTTATAATGTAATCACCAATCCGTCTCATGTTTATAATTTGTAACTTCTTTCAGTTCGACGTATTTTGTAGTGACTTTTTTATAATTTTTCATTAGGTTGAGCCGTCTTCATCATCTTTAAACTCTCAAGATACATTCCTGTTGATGAACGATCAGAAGACCGTCATCTGGAAAGGACAGGTGAGCTTAGCGAGTACAAATCCTGTGCAAAACAATACGTGTTTTATATGGGCGGATTAGTCGAGTGATTAACACTCCGGCCTTCCACGCAGGCGGCCGGGGTTCGATCCCTGAGGTCATCGTACGCATGGATATTCAGAGAAAGTATTTTTCTCCTGCCCACACAACTCCAGTAACCCAGATGGAGTATAAATTGGTCTGGGGTTGATGTTGCGGTACCTGTGCTGTAGCATTCTAGTGAGATGGCACTATAAATAATGCCGTAGGAAGCACGGTCCCATTACAAACAGAACACAGTATATCTCCAGGACACACGCAGGCATAAACACATAGGGAGATATTAGATAGGTGGCACAGGACTAGTAGTGAGCGCCTGATAAGGCAGCTCCATCGAATTCCTTAAAATTGTATTGATTAATGTATATTCTAATTGTATTAATTGTAGATCTATTTTCTGTAAAGCGCTTATGAGTGGCCTATGCTAGCGAGATAGGGGGCTTTTTCGAATGTTGTATATTATTATTATTATAAATATTCTCAAACACAAAACGTTGATCCTGTATCGATTAACTGACAGCACCATTGTTCAGTGATTATGTGTATTGCCATGGCTATTTGACCTTACACTAGCAAGTAGACAACTACATTTCGGAATTGATCGTGTATTGTGTTGTAGCTGTCCAACAGCTGTGAACAGAGCCTGTCACGTGACATGGCAGGGTACCTAGCGCCTGAAAAGTAAATATACCTATTATATAAACAAATCATTGTTAGAATTCATGAGCAGACTCCCATATAAATTAACCATTTTAATATTTAATCCATTTCACAAGAAAGTGATATAACTATTCATAATTAACAAATATAATTTATTACAATTAAGTAATTACCATAAACCATTTGATGCAATTCTTGTAAAATAATTAATTGCAAATAATATGTGTAATACTATCAATTATAATTAACGTAAGTAATATAATACACTAAAGTCAATATTAATAATGTCATATGTTAAAAATGTCATGAAAAAATCTGATTCCTTAGATCTACCAAAGTTAATGTAATATACTTAATAAGTCTATAAGTCGGGTTCCATTGTAGCATCATCGAGTGTATATCTGAGGGAGAGGAAACGGACGACTTTTGGGAGGCACTCGGAGGAATATGTGAATATGCAAAATGTCATAATAATCCAGTAAGTTATTGAAATAGAACACAATGTACATACGATTTGTTATTTACTCTTTCGAAGATTATGTATTAAATGATTGAAACAAAGCCTAATTATGATACATGTCAATGAACGTTATGTTACAGGGAACAGAATGGTTTCCCCCTAGACTGATGCAGTGCTCAAACGCGACGGGTAGATTTAGGGTGGAGGAAATACTAGAATTCACCCAACAGGTAGGCTTTGAATACTTCGATATCATGTTTAATTCCAAAATATTTTGAAAACAATGAGGTTTCAATGAGTTATACGATGGCCATTCAATAAGTTACTAGTATCAGAGATCACATGTATGTTGTATATTGGTTGATATTTCCATTACAAGCCTTTGAAGTATCCCTCTTTAGCATAAACGCACTTTCGCAATCGCGTTATCCGTGACGTTAGCGCTACGCGGTAGCCTCCCCTTGGTAAACTGGCGAGACACTAGGACAAATGGGGGATCCGTCGGACATAAAGCTTCTTTATTTCAGTTTTCTCAGAAACAGTATAACGGTCATCGGCTTTAGTCAGGCTTTCACAGCAGCAATGTCCTTCTTTGATGCTGCAACAACTGTCTCCGCCTGTCTAGTTGTGTGTCCTCTTTGGTGTTAACTTAGCTATTCTCGTATTTGTTAACCTACTCAATATGATGGCAGAGATGACTTTTATGCTTCTCAACTCTGCATGCATCTGTTTGGCGGTATCTGTTTGGCGGTATCTGTTGTACAGTATCTGTTTGACGGTATCTGTTTTGGCTGTTTGGCGGTATCTGTTTTGGCGGTATCTGTTTGGCGGTATCTGTTTTGGCGGTATCTGTTTGGCGGCATCTGTTTGGCGGTATCTGTTTTGGCGGTATCTGTTTGGCGGTATCTGTTTTGGCGGTATCTGTTTTGGCGGTATTTGTTTGGCGGTATCTGTTTGGCGGTATCTGTTTTGGCGGTATCTGTTTGGCGGCATCTGTTTGGCGGTATCTGTTTGGCGGTATCTGTTTTGGTGGTATTTGTTTGGCGGTATCTGTTTAGCGGTATCTGTTTTGGCGGTATCTGTTTGACGGTATCTGTTTGGCGGTATCTGTTTTGGCGGCATCTTTTTGGCGGTATCTGTTTTGGCTGCATCTGTTTGGCGGTATCTGTTTTGGCGGCATCTGTTTGGCGGGATCTGTTTTGGCGGTATCTGTTTGGCGGTATTTGTTTTGGCGGTATCTGTTTTGGCTGTTTGGCGGTATCTGTTTTGGCGGTATCTGTTTTGGCTGTTTGGCGGTATCTGTTTTGGCGGTATCTGTTTTGGCGGCATCTGTTTGGCGGGATCTGTTTTGGCGGTATCTGTTTTGGCGGCATCTGTTTGGCGGGATCTGTTTTGGCGGTATCTGTTTGACGGTATCTGTTTTGCGGTATCTGTTTTGGCGGCATCTTTTTTGCGGTATCTGTTTTGGCGGCATCTGTTTGGCGGTATCTGTTTTGGCGGCATCTGTTTGGCGGGATCTGTTTTGGCGGTATCTGTTTTGGCTGTTTGGCGGTATCTGTTTTGGCGGTATCTGTTTGACGGTATCTGTTTTGGCGGTATCTGAAAAGCACACTGTGCTTTGATATAGTCACAATCTTCATTTTAGCACTGAAAAACAATCACTAGTCACGAGGGCATATCACTGAATACTGAATTACTTACTCGAACTATTACACGTGCATTGTTCCTTAAATGTTTTGCAGTCTACCAAGGTACTAAACTATTGTTTTACTCGTACTTGCAGCAGCTATGTGGTGACAAGATTGCTTGAATGATCCTCGTAAGAACATACCAACCCCCAGATTTAATCCGTGTTTTTTTTATATCCAAGGAATTTTCGAGTACTATACCTCAGATATCGTGAAGTTTTCTTGGGATTAGGCGATAGGAACAGACAAAGGCAACTCGTATGAACAAACTGGGGAGTGGTTTATTTCACAAATGTTGCATATTAATATTAACGAAAGCCCAGCATTACTTACTATTGAAAGGTATTAATAAGGCTAAATGTGGTCTCTAACACGTGTCATTAGTGATTACTGATTGTACATTGTTTAGGATCTGTGTGAAGGCGACGTGATGCTACTCGATACTCACCAGGAGGTACGTGGATCATGTTGTTGCATCTAATAAATGTTGTAAATGGAATATATCATGGCGTCTCCTTCTTTGTAACTTTATATTATCAACTTCATGAATACGGTCACCCCTTATCAAACTCTATGGTAAACTTGTTGAATTTTGTTTCACGATACTTGACCTACCTTTTCGCATTAGTAGCATTATTAACATTAATAACATTAATAACATTAGTAGCATTAGTAACATTATTAACATTAGTAACATAAGTAACATTAGTAGCATTAGTAACATTAATAACATTATTAACATTAATAAACATTAGTAAACATTAGTAACATTAATAACATTAATAACATTAGTAACATTAATAACATTATTAACATTGATAACATTAGTAACATAAGTAACATTAGTAACATTAGTAACATTAATAACATTA